CGGCGCAGCCCTCCCGGCACGGCTCATCCGCTCTCTGTTGCAGGTTCACTCACCCGCTGATGCTGGGCTCTGGCATGCACACCACCGGCATCCCACACCCCGCCATTGTGCCCCACTCCGGCAAGCAAGAGATGGAGCACTATGACCGAAACATGTAAGTTGGAAGTGCCAACAGGGCTCCTCAACAGCATCAGCACCTTAATGCCCATTTCATTTATCCCTCTGCTAGTGTTTTTGGCGGGGGGAGGGTGGATGAACGCCGAGCTCTGCCTGCGTCAGGCAACGGCACACATCCGAGGGGCAGATCTCAGGCCCCCCCACCTGCTCATGCCGTCGGGTGGGTTTTGGTGTCGAGTCTTCTGCTGAACTTGCTGCCACCAGGCAGCCAGGCTGGAGGGTGGCTCTGACGCTGACAGCTCCTCTTTCCATCCCCCCAAGGAAACCTCAACCAGAACCAAAGAGAGAGAAGGAAGCCAAGAAGCCCACTATCAAGAAGCCCCTGAATGCTTTCATGTTGTATATGAAAGAAATGCGGGCAAAAGTCATCGCCGAATGCACCCTGAAGGAGAGCGCCGCCATCAACCAGATCTTGGGCAGGAGGGTAAGAGCACGCGGGGCTCAGCGCATCGTCCCAGTGCAGCATCCCCATCCCTCACAGCTGCTCTTAAGCACATAACAAGCATCTGCTTTCACCCTGTTTAAGGGTGCTCTTATCCCTTAAACACTCAGAGTCAGGTGTGCCCCGGAGCGGGGCGGCCGCGGTGGGATGGGCTGGGAGGGGACAGCGGGGCCGCGTCTCACCACCACGCTTGTCCTTGCAGTGGCACGCGCTGTCCCGGGAGGAGCAAGCCAAGTACTACGAACTGGCTCGCAAGGAACGGCAGCTCCACATGCAGCTTTACCCCGGCTGGTCTGCAAGGGACAACTACGTGAGTGGCTGCCGCGGCTCAGACCCCCTCCCCATGGCATGGCCAGAAATGACCCAGGGGGCTGACAACTGGTGTTTGTCAAACATCCCACCTGTCCCTGCCGTTCCTGACGGCACAATATCTATAGAAATTCACATTTCAGTGGTGGTGTGAACGTCCCCTTGGCTCATCGCCTGCCTGTAGCACGAATGTTGTACTTCCCCAGCTACCACAACTGCCTGGTGTCCAAGTAAATAGCAGTAGAAAGGAAGAGAAGTTTTTAAATTATGTGGATGATCTCTGGAAATACAGTTTTATGGAAATCCACTGCTTTGAGCATCTCAGGCAGCAGCTGAGACATCAGCCCAGAGGGAGCAGAGTGTGGGGCAGAGATGTGGGAGGAGAAACTCGTGGGGAAGCTGCGCTCGGGTGGGATGGCTGCGGGGGCCAAACAGGCACCTGCAGCCGGGTCGGCTCTGTTCACTTTGTGGTAGTGCCTCGTTCACCAGCTTGAAATTATGGGGCTGGGTACTGCGGGCTCCGTAGTCCCGGGCACACGCTGCAGGTTTGGGGGGGATTTGCCGAACTGCGGGCTGCCGCCTGTCTTCTGCGGGTTTAAAACCAGTACAGGGCATCTGCCCGAGCCGCGCTCACAGGAGCATAATAATAGTAACGGGAAATAATTGTTAAAAAGGCAAAATAGGAAAGTGTAAGCTGCTTTGTATGAGTTGTAGTGCAAACTTTGGTCTCGCAGGCTGTTCCGTTCAGATTTCGGACTCTCCGTGGGGTCGTTTCCCAAGCAGCAGCCCCGTGTGTTGCGGAGCACATAAGCAGCACTCACAGGATGACAGTCACGGAGTTTCTGTCTGTCCTCGGGGACGTTGATCCCACCCTGACCAGATCAAGCATGCCACGTTCAAAGTATTCAAATGCAATTTGAGCAAACGCAGACAACAGCACTGCTTGCTTGGTGAGCTCGCGAGCTAAACCCAGCTCTGTGGCGAGCCTGTTTCCCAACGAAGATTGCTGTTAGGAAAAAAAAATAAACCCTTCCCAGATTGAAAAAAGAAAAAAAAAGCCCCCAAACCAGGCAGTGGCTGCTGAGCGGAGCAGCTGAGCAATGCAGCAAATAGCAGTGGTTCTCAGCAATAAAAATTAACTAATGCAGAGAGCCCTGAAACATGCTGAGGGTTGGGATCGTGCGTTCCCATAGCCAGAAGAGCTTTCCCAGTGTACAAGGGAAAGAAGGGAAGCTCCAGCCTTGGTCTTCCCTGGTTTTGGCTGTAGCGAGGTACGCTGCCGCAGCAATCGATGCCAAACCGATCTCCAAGGCGTGAGCAGAGAAAAACCTGCGCTTTGGTTTTTATAGAGAGCTAACTTGACCCTGTGTCTAAAATAGTGGCTCTTTTTGGAGGGGGCTGTGGCAGACTGGCCACGCTGGCACAGCCGGGCTGCCCGGGGTCCCCTGTTCCCCTGTTCTCATTAGAGAAGCAGCAGCAGCTCCTGGGCTGGCTGGAGGGACGAAACTGCTTTGCAGCTTCTGGTGGTAGGGCCAGCACTTGGGAAGCCTCTGGGCTACTCTATGGAACATTTAAAGGTTACTCTTAAAAAAAAATTCGTTTCCTCTTAGCTATATTAATCACATCAGTGGCACCACATTAAATGAGGTTGCATAGGTGTAGCGGTGCCCCAGAAGCAGGAGGATATACTCTGGGTCTTTTCTAGTGGCTTTCTCAACTGTTTTGATCTCACCTGCCTAATGAGCTCATTAGAGACCTGAAGCAAAGCACACGTAAGTCTTCAGATGTCCGTCCATCCTCTCTAGGGCTCTGCCCTTTGCTCTAAGGCTCCGTCGTTTTCCCTCACAGCCATTTTCTTTGCCCTGGGAGCTGCACAATGAGCACCCTCCAGCCCACCCTGACCAGAGCCCTCCTTCCAGAAAGCCCAAACGCCACCGAGGGCGAGAAAACACCCTTAAACAGACCAAAAACACCCCCCAAAAAAACCCCACAGAGGGCAGAGATGGTGCAAAAGAATCAGAGGTTGTGGGAAGCCCCCAGCCCGTGTTTCCCTGCAGTGGCACAGACATCCCTGCCTACTTGCAAGCAGAGACCAGGAGCTCAACATCCATATGCAGCTTTGCAGGACCAGTGTTGGATGCTGCCCCGCGGCGGAGCCGCCCTTAGAGCTCCTTTGCTGCTGCCCCAGTTTCTCTAAGGGCAGCTCCGGAGGGCGGCAGCGTCGGTGGGCACACATCTGGAGGGCAGCAGCATCTGGAGGCAGCAGCGTCGCTGAGACCAAGGTACCATCTTCCTCCAAGACCAAGCGCGTCCTTCATGGAAATCTCAAATCACGTAGCATCCTTCTTGGCAAGGGCTGGTTCCTTGCTCCAGAAGATGGAGAGGATGGTGGGCTCCGAAGGCGCACGTTGGCTCTCCCAGAACCGGCAAGCAGCTGCTTCGGATCTTGTGGTCGTTGTAAGAGATGCTTTTCTCTCCGGAGCTTGAGCGGGGAGGAGGAATGTAGGTCACTTCTGCAGCACGTGATGCAGATATTGGGCAGGAAATACAGTTGCTCCCACACCGAAGAAAAAGCTTACCGCAGCTCAGAGCTTTCCACCTTCACTCAAACCACAAGAAGTCATACAAAAAGTCACGGGTCAAAGGCAGCCCTGCGAGCTGCCTGCTCCATGCAGGCCAGATTTGCTCCTATGTCACTGTGCCCTCAATAATCTGATTTGGAAACAAGGGGAGTCAGAGAGGCAGTTTGGGGATAAAATCGGGTATTCTTGTTAGTGAGGGAAGAAAACAGAAGAACGAGAGATGGGTCCAGAGCTGAAAAAGCACTGAAATAGAGAAGTATTATTTAAAAATTCATTTCTGGGGATTTCCTAAAACTTTCTTTCCTATTTGAAATCAGGGGCACTCCTCCTGGTAAGATGTAACGGAGCAATTTCTGTGTGGGTATAAGGCACCACATTAAAGCACATTTTGGAACCAGGGAAGGTGCTAAAATGGGCCAAGTGCTTTTTAGAAACATAAAGGGGGAGGAGGAAGAAGAATATGCCAGGAGGACCAGCTGTTGATCACACTGCCTCCGTCGCATGCAGTAAATCTTGTTTAAATCTATTAATCTAGTTAAATTAATTAAAGCTATAATGGGTGGAGTTCTCAGGTGAGACACATCAGGGTGGGCCGAGGAGGGCTGGCAGGAGTCGGCAGAGGTGCTGAGCAGCGCCGGCACAGGCGCTGGGTTTATTATAGTCGTTTTGCATCCACTAACACTCTCTCTTGCGATTTCTTACGCAGACTGCAGTGTGAGTCAGGGTCTCAGCTGCGTTTGTAGTGTGGTCGTGGACTCATAAAGCAGAGCAGGGGAGCAGCGTGTTGGGAAGAAGATGCAGTAGATGCCGGGGGTGGTAGCAGGGACGTGGCCGACATCTCATCTGAATTTCTGTTGTTTCGGTGTACGTGCGGATCTTGTGCAGAGTGGATTTGGGATGAGTCAAAATCTGGAAATGAGGGGTTATTCCTGAGAAAAGGGACGTGCCCAGAAGAAATTTGTGCCGTGTAAAAGCCGGCCATCGGCATGTGTGCCAAGACAAATTTGAGTGGTTGCTTTAAGAGTTCCTCCTGGGGTTCTTCGAAGGAGCATTGGCCTGGGCGGTGGGGAAAGGAAAAGGATGCTCGCGCAGGTGAAGCGAGCAGGTCCCCTTGCAGTGATTTCCAGTTCATCTCCCTCGGTGGCGCAGAGCCGGCGGTGCCGCGGCTGGTGGAGCC